AACCTTAAATACAGCCAATTAATACTAAATTTATCATGTTGCCAGTTTTTTAAATAAGGATTCTATTGCATTAACTAAATTTTACGATGTTTTATCCAAAGCGCTGAAGGTGGAATTTTACAGCTTTTATTTTTTTACAGTCCGGCTGTACTGACTTAAAACTGAATTTTCCTTTTTTAGAAACTTTAAATTTTGTTGACTCAGTATGACTTTGCTGTGGAATGGAAACCTGGTTATCCATATCACAGGTACTGGTTAACCAATCTCCCAATACCTTCTTAATTGTAATCGTACTGTTTGTTTCAAATGTTATATGGGAGAAAATTAAGAATTATTATTATTATAAATAAAAAAACACAAAACTAGTCAGCATAGTCACCGCTTCCTTGGAATAATCTATAATTAAGGTTTTTAAATATGTTGCAGACTTAGTGGTCCTTAGGTTAAGGTTCAAAGGCCAAAAACCTATAAGGAATCAATAAAAATACAGTATTAACTTTTAATTAAACATAAAATTATGATAATATTCATAAAATTGCTAACGAAATATAATATTAGTTTTTTAATATAAAGACATCTTTGTGTACTCTGATCAATCGCTCCTAGGCAACATTTTGCTTTAATAAAACCGATGCCAAAGCCTATAAAGCTTAGCCGTCCGCTGTGAATAGCCTATTAAAAATAGCGCACCTCGATATTACCGGCCTGTATCGTATAACATTTTAGAGCTTTCAAGAGATGGGATACTCTGAAATGATCGTTTAGCGCTGAGTTATGGACGAAAAATTGCTGACCTAACGGTTGCACTTTGCATTTTAAGAATTCCATTTTCAGATGCTTTCCCATATACGTATAGTTCCAAAATATTCGTGGCGAATGTGATGCTATTAAATTTCCTAAAAAATAATTATCTACAAAACATATAGGACAACATTCTTATGTGATGTACAATAGCTTACTATGTTGTAAAGAATTTCAGTGCTTCAAACTATTATCTATAAAAATGTCGACTCTATGACGTGTACTGCCTCTGGAATCCCACATCTGAGACCAAAGAGTGGCTACTGAAAATCAAACCTTTTTCTTTATTACTTAGGGTCGTTTTATAAGTTGCAGGTTATTTTATTTGATTTTTATCAAATTTAAACCGTATCGTATCGGCCCAAGTGTGAAATTGTAATGCTAAGAGCGGGAAGTCTCCAAGGAACGATTTGAAAGATGTCGCAAAGGCTTTCTTGGCGGAGTTTCGTGCTTTTGTTTAAAAATTGTGAATTATTCTTGTAATGTAAGAATCGTGTACTTGAATTACTCTTGTTTGCATGCTATTTAGATTTTAATATTATTCACTTTATCGTCGGGAAATGTTTGTATAACAATAACATTTCTCTACTAGTGTTTTATGATTTCTTTTCTCAAAAATAAATTTCTTTTGAAATAGAATTAGTATCTGGAGTAGTGAAGTGTTTTTTTTTATATATTTTGTCAAAAAGTCGTGGATCAAACGCAAATAGGGGATAGATGAGGTCATCAGCTGCAAAAAATTGTTCTACGGGAGGTCTCTAAGCTCAACCCCTGCAGAGTTATAATTTATTTTGCGTTTTTATAAGAAATTTGACTTTTTGACTAATTCTTATTAAAATTCGAAAATATCTACATCCTGTATCTTTTTCATAATATCCACTAGATTGGTACTGATGAGTTCTTGCGTTAGACATACTATTTATAGTGGTTTATTGAGTGTATTCAAGATAATATTAAGTTATACGATATAACATTTTTTCAAATCATAACTTTTTGTTTACTTCGGACCCCACTGTGAAAAAAATTACTCTACCAAAAAGTGACCCTGTATTACAAGTTTTTGCGCATTTAATAGGGATTCTGAAAAGGTATTACACATGGCCATGAGTCCCTCTAATATCTTTCCTACCTCATCTATCCCCTATTTGCGTTTGATCCACGACTTTTTGGCCACCCTGTATTATTTTAATTAAACAAATATGTATATGTATGTATAAAATTTTGGTTACAGTTTTTACTCACACAGTACAAAAAATTATACTTCGCGTCGCATTAAACTTACCTGCTTTCACACAAAAAGCTCCCTTTTCGTTAGAAATTTTTATAGTAATTAAAGATCACTTTATTTACTCATTATGCAATAGTAAAAAAGCAAATTTTAAAAATTTCCACGAGTCTTCTTCATGTGCTACATACGCGAAATTTTTAAATAAGTACACTTTTATGCATAGGAGCACTTAAAACAGTTAATAAAGTTTTCTCAGTTTGCGCGGGAAACAGGAATGTTATTAAATTCTAGTAGTGAGACGTTGACTGAGCGCCTGTCTGCTACCGGCATAGTCAGAGAGCTACATTGAACCAAAACAATTTTATGATTCGATAAAGGAACTCGTATTTATAACAAGTTTGAATTTAATTTTAATCGAAAGATTAATTTGGCATATCATAACATATTTTTATCATTGTCAGTTTCAACACAACCATTCAAATTAGTTTTCATTTTGTTTATGGCGATTTTTTTGTCTAGTCAAAGTTTACTCTAAAGCCAGAACGTTTGCCATTTTAAAATGGAAGGCTCTTGCGCCTCTTGGTCTATTCCAGTTCCCATCTGGCTCGTATCCAGCCCTCAGACGTTGCTAAGTCGCATTACGTCATCGTTCACGGCATTCCTGTGTTAAAATTTACCCCTGACATCCGCCTTTGGGTTACTCGTCGTTTAACGCTTAGACTTTTCAAGAAATACCTTAGTTTTTCTGTTACTATATTCTATCAGACCAGGGCTTTTAGTTAGACGCAGTCTTCACGTTTTATTCCTTGGGCTGGAGTGGTAAGTTACTGGAATATTTATGAAAGTACATCATAAACCTACTAATGTGTGAATGTTTAATAAACGATGGCGAAGATAGTTAAATTTCCTCCTTAAGAATATAGAACAGTAAGGACATTCTAAAACAGTAAGAGCTAATTTTAATTGAACCAATATCAACGACCGTAATAAATCTAATCTGTTAATGTTAAATGCAACAGTATCTGTGCAACAAATGAAGGTTTAAATGGTGGCGTCTACCGTTTCGAGCAGAATCTAGCTAACGATATTGTAGGTTAGAGCAACAAGCTGAAGCGGAGAAGTCAAATTTGTTTAACAACAACTGTCATTCTTATTCGAAACCTAAAATTTTCCAAGAGTCTTTTAAGCTTGCGCGAGTTCGATAGAAAAAGTAAATGAATAAATTATAATATTTATATTACGCCATGCTTTGAGTGCATTACACCAGTCGTGGTTGGCGAAAGACTGCCGATCTTCTTCCGTATGTTGAAATTGGCAATATTCCATTGTATTTGTACAAAATTACCACAATATATAAATTAATTGCTAGTTCTTAATCTGTTGCATTCTATTGTATAATATATAATTTCCTTCGTATAAATAACATAAATCAGTCTATTTGCACAATAAGTTACCGTGTCAGACTCTTTTTATCACAGGTACAATTTGACAGAAAGAGACGAAAAATTATGTAGCTCCTTTAGCTGATATTTTTTATGGGGTAACTTTTGAAAGCTTAGGCTTATAACTTGGTATCTGTGGAGATTTGCTTTCACCGTTTGATTCAGTAAGATAACTAGACAAACAGGTTTCTTGGCATTCACGACCGACCCGTATCGGAGTTACTGTGATCATTGAGACGTGTTGTTTTACTGAATGACAAATCTATGAAGGTGTGGTATAATCTGTGGAGGTTACCTTTGTTGTCATTGTCACGTGATACGTGGGTAACACTGAAAATGTTTAGAACGGGCCAGTTAGAAACATTGCTAATGAAAACTTTTTTGAATATCAATTTTAGAACTCTTGGTAACCTAATGTACTATATTGCATTAATTTGTTTTTGTGAATTGGCGGCAAATCTAAAACTCTTGTTACACGTGAAAATGAACCTAACGCGAGAAAATTTCGGTCAATGATTTATTATGACTTTAGTTGTGGGCTTACTCAACAACAAAGCTATGATAGGCTGCGATTAGCATTTTTTAATGAAGCCCCATCTCGTGCCACTATTTATAATTTGTTTAACGAGTTTAAGCGTGGACGTAGCAATCTCCAATGATGATCCACGTGAGGGACGTCCTTTAACACCGACTACTGAAGATAACATCAGTGCTGTGCGACGCAGGATAGAGGAAGATAAGAGAGTGACCTATCAGCAGATACGGGCAAGCCTAGGCATTGGTATGAGTCAAGTTTAACAAATATTATACGAACATTTAGGCGTCAGGATGCTTTGTACCAGATGGATTCCCCATACTCTAACCGACGACCAGAAACACCTTCGCATGGAATGGTGTCGCCAAATGTTAGATAAGTTCAACGGCGGTGACTCATGCTGTCTTTGACATCGTTACAGGTGATGAAAGCTGGATCAAAACTAAAGATAAAATTCGAGGTATTTGCTTTACGAGTCCTGAAGATGCGGTGAAAGTGTACGATAATGCCATAGGAGAGACCCCTAAGGAAGAATGGGCCCAAATGCGACGATGTGTAGAGAGGAACGGAGATTACTTCGAAAAACAATAAAAGTATTAGCAACTTTCTACATTAAGCCATTTTTCATTTTCTAATCATTTTCAGTGTTACCTAGGTATTTGTATATATATATTCATTAAAAAAAGTTTTAAGACAGAAAATTTTACATTTAATTTATTTGGCCTCACTTTCGAATGCAAAAACTAATGTTGATCATACTTTTGTAGAAAAATAACTTAAATGGTGAAACGAGGCTAGATTCCATGTAGATTTTGTACCAAAGTTTACACAACTTTTCCCTCAAGTCAACCTTTCTAGCCAGAATAATTTTAATGTGGCTTATATAAAGAGAACTTAAATTATGAAAAGCTTTCAGAGCCCTTGAAAGATAAAATAAAGTAAGACCAAATGCAATTTAACTGCACCTGCATGCGATAATAAAAATAAAGAAGATTCATTGGACGTCTTTAAGCTTCACCGCTGTGTCAGGAAACCGAGGTGCAATAGCCTCGCGGACCAGACCGCTTTTTGCGCAAACTAAGTGGTTTTGCTAAGACAAGAAAATATTGTTTCAGATAGAGCAGTTCTAATTATCTCTTTTCTTCGCTTTATATACGTATCTTATGGGATTATATCTAATATATAAATAAATAAGTAATGCGGTGTCCCTTATATGGGTAATTGATTTTTTCAGTAATTGAAATGCATACCTCATATGCTTTTTAAACTATCCAGACTTACTTAATTATACAATTTTATTTTCTACGTCATCATTAACTCCTGCCGACAGAACTCTGAAATTTTCGTAAATTGGGGTTGTTAATGTTTTCGTTTCCGTTATGTAGCGTCCGTATGTTCCGTCAATTTAAATTATATAAAATATTTATTAAAAGAAGATAAAATTACAGATCGGGCAGGATATTTTCTTTTGATGGTTTCTTTTTTACAGTATGGATACAGATTTCTATGCTCCTGAACGCAGCAAATGATGCTTTTGCTCTTCCTTTGCAGTGATCGAACCATAAAAACTTGCATAGGCTTTACAGCTCTTTCAGCTGTATCATTAACGGTCTTTAAAGAAAGAAACCATTTTTGTTGTTGCCTCTGAATATGCATCATCTTCATAAGCATCATGTCCACGTAGAAAATAGATTGTGCTCGTGAAAGGCACAAAATCACTTAATCATTCCTGCAACAATAAGACAGTATTTTTTTCAATGTATTGAATACAGTATTAAAATAGTAGCTATTGTATTCCTACTTACCATACAAATAATCAGGTCACATTTTCTTTAGATGGAATGGTTCTATTCCCTGAGTGATACAAACTCTCTCTTTCTAAGTTTACTACGATGTTCGTCTCGGTTTTTTCGTTATCTTCATCATGAAAGAGTTATCAACGGGTAATATCTTCTGACAAGTATCAAAGATGTTGAGTAAACTTGCTCAGGGCTGCTTTGGATATATATTTGTCGATAGTTTCATATTCCTTAAGCCTGTTTAAAAAGCATAAATCTTTATTTAGTACTTTCACCGACAGACTCCAAGCTATATAACAGTGGATAAACAGATGTCTTGAAGTGCTCACTGCACTTTATCCATGGCGCTAATTATGAACTGGGATTGCCACGAACATATCTTGAAAGAGCTCTATCCATCCTCATCACCATCATCCAGAGGTTAAATTTCTTAAAAGCCTGTTGTTGAACCAGTTCCCGATAAACGGTACGATGGTTTTTTGCAGTTCTTGGTTCACACAAATTTTCTATTGTTGTATTACAAAACTGTCGTGGGAGGATATGTTGTATTATATATTCAATGGCATGAGGATGACTAGTATTTGCGTTGTTTCCATGAGGTACCGGTCATAAACTGCATTCAACATAGCATTGCTTAATCCTATCCAATTTATATAAAGCTAGAAGTTGTTGCTTTTCTAATATCTAAATGAAATTAGAATTGGCAGAATTGGCAGCGTTCTTCTGAAAAACTTTTCACTACAAGTCTAGGTAATAATTTCCATTCCCAATGAACGGTCACCATTTCAGCCATGTTATTCTGAAAATCTGGTTTTATAGATTCCGCTCTGTCTTTTCGACTACCTATATGTGCGAATGCGTTGCAAGGACGATTTGTTTATCGAAAAATCAACACAGCTAAGATCTAGCGCTTCTACATAAAGCATAAAACTTAGGCGTGATGAAGTCTTTCCTTCCTCTTTTTGCAGTAGTTAGAGAACTTACCGTTTTAGAGGGTCGCGTTAATAATCGAATATATTTGGGCGCATCAACTTTTAGCGTAGGCCTCTGTGGAATAGTGGCGTTGGTGCTGAAATGTCACCAAGCAGAAGCCTTTAAAAAAGTAGACTCTAATGTCAAAATTAAATGGCTGATGCTACAAAGATATTGATGGCGTCAGCATTGCTGTAATTATCTTCAATAATTTATCTGCAAGTCCTGTTTTTGTTAAAATCAGGTTGAGCTTTCGAGACATTGTTCAGGTTATTGTTTGTTGCTTTGTCAATCAGTCCCTTACCTGTCTCCTTCGTCCTTCCCGTCGATAGACGACAATATTTCTATCTTTCATTGTCAGTTAGCCGCCCTTTCTACCTTCCTTTCTCCACGCGTAATTCTACGCGTAACTTCCTGCACCATTATTTAGGTGCTGCCCTCGTTCCTCGTTTGTGTCTCTTCCCACTCCGTCATATATATTTATTCTTTTGGAACTTAAACGGAAACGAATTTGCCTCATTCTGTTATATCTTCTATTACAATTGTTCTAGTTATTATTATTATTTAAAACAAAACTAATTAAAACTAAGTAACAAAATGTAAACTTATGGCAAAAAGATTTCAGTGAATCACAAGTGAATCAGTGATTAAGATCCAAAGCTCAGCTATTCGGTGTAGCAGCGGGAAATAGCGTTATCCTCTCAACTTAATACTCGTACAAACTAACGGTACGTGTAACGTTTCATTCAAATCCACTTAATTTACTGACCTCGCCCCTAGAAACACTTAGCTTACACAAAATTTCTCTTTACTAAGTAAATTTGTCTTTCATGAATCCACTTTCTCAGTATTTTATTAAAACTTCGACTAATTATAAAAGTAAAACTTATTTGAACTTATTTGGCTTTACAAGAACAAATTAATTGTTTATTCATAAAATATGATATTAACATTTAGAAATCTTACTTGGTTTAAATGTCACTTACTGTACTATGCCTGAAAGGTAAAATCAAATATACTTTTTAAATTTGGAACTGGAAATTTAAAACGTAATTGACCGCTTTGACCCTTTTACGGTTTGCATCATAAGAAATAAAAAACACCAAACTACTCGTGAGGAACTTTTTATTCAAAATTGTAAAACTTAAAAAAACACTGTGAAATGTGTGTGTAGCTTTCGTAGATAAACGTGAAGCGTCCATACAGAGCTGCCACCTCATTGGAAGCATAGAACGCAAAATAAAGAGACACGTCTTCACAAAGATTACAGAACCATTAAGCAGTGATGTATGGACCAGTTGATTTATGTACTAGAAACTAGTCTTTTATTGTTACGTGAGTGCTCTCCACGCGATTAATGGCTGCGTTTGTTTAAACGCCATGAATTACGGATGTCAGTGATCCAATAGTTATTACAAAATTTTTACAGTACGCGAACGAACCTCTTATACAGAAAATTACTTTGAACTTAGAATCTCGCTGTCTTAAATGTTTACGCTGCGGTGGATTTTTGCCAAACTATTACAATAATAAGTTTTTAACTTAAGGTAGCTAACAGTTACTCATTACTACAAAAGTATTACGTCGCGCATATAATATGAACTGAATAAGAACTTTGGTTCGAAAGAGTAAGGTAATAAGCGTTACCTAACCGAGTCCGATTCACTTTGTCGCGTCTACTGAAATCTCCATTAGTAGTAGCGATAAAAAGTTTATTACAACTAGCCGTACTCTTTGTACGAGTTGAATAAAATATTTACGACATACGAGCCTGTTACGACTCGGTGACACGCTTTAATAAATCATCATTCGTTTATGGCCATTATTATTTTACTGCAGGCCATGACGTGATGTCAATTATGACAACTTTGTGTTCGAGTTGGAGCAAGCTTTTCCAGATTACTGTGGAGAATAATATATCTTTACCTATGTAACTGGAGATTCTATAACCAGCATTTACAGGTTTAATTATCTATTGGTTGACGCGCAATTTCAAATTCAAATTAATTTTATTCGAAAGTATTCAACTGTTAATTTAATCCATCAACTTCCGTCTTTTGTTTTTAGATAGATTATTGTTAGTTACGAAATAGTAACGACGTATATGGGCTTAACAGTGCTTCCATAAACACGGTCCATTATTGGTTGAGTTGAAGAACAAGCCTCGCGGTCGGCTTGTAAGCACTGTCGACAACGACGAATTGAAAGCGATTGTGAAAGCGGATCCAACTAAATCTACGGCTGAGCTTGCTGCGTACCTTGGAGCTAGTGTCAAAACAACATTGAAGCACTTTCGTCAAATCGGAAACATAAAGAAGCTAGATAAGTTGGTGCCAGACCAACTAAGCGACCAACAACGTGACTTACGCGTCGATGCATGCATAGCATATGAAGAGGATGGTGACTGCCTGATGGACCAGTGCCAGACTTGTACATCACAGCTTCTTACTGAATAGGACAACTGTGATGGCAGATGTTTAGTACCAAGAATTGCACCAAGTTTAGTACCAAGAAAACAATGATGAAGTAATTCAACCACCATGACTGGTCATTGGTCAATCGCTCTTCCACATTACTTCTCCACGGGAACGTGTGAGGACACGACCGACCATCGCAAATCTACAAGATTTACAGCTGGAAGTACTCCATCACCCAGCGTACTTATCGGATCTTGCCCCAACAGATTTATATTGTTTTAAGAATTTTTCAAGTGGGAAAAAATTCAACAGCTGAAAGGTAGTACGAAACATTTTCGCTGACTTCATCGTCTCCCATCCGGCAGACTTCTACAGTAAAGGGATAAACAAACAAACAATCAAAATGTCAAAATATCTGCCAGTACTTTTAGCTGAGTTAAAAAAAATATATATATATATTTTAAAATTTCATATCTCCAATTACACAGGTAAAGACCTAATACTAACATTCTATTAAAATGATTTATACGGAGATTGGATTTAATAATAATGTAGCGGCATATTCGAGCGAATGTATTTTAATATTTCCCCACGAGAGCCATATTATCATAGTCAGTCGTAAATATGATGTTATGCATGTAACGTAAAATGTAGTATTTCTTTTCACTATGGAAGTATGCACTAATACCCAAGGCTTCATAAAACAAATAATGTTTTGGAGAAATTAGATGTAAAATTTAAAAAGAAAATAAGACTTTATATAGAAAATATTAAGTTATCTTGTATCGATAGCACCAGTTCTTACGTGTAAAATAGGAATTGTATCTAATCTTTATCGTCAAGAAATAAAACTCTGCTGATTCTCTTGACTTGTTTTTCTCTGGACGTAACACAAAGTTTACAAGAATTCTTAACAAAGCTCGCGTTCTTGTTTGAAAATAATCATTTAATTATGCAGTAAATAAACATGTCAGGGTCTTATAACCCTCAAAAATAATACCTAAATCTTAAATAATAAACATAAAGGAAATCTTTGTATTTAAAGTGTGGTTTTAGTTTTCCAACCTCTTAGGTCGAGATATTTAAGATTTTCATCAGCAAAACCAGCTCGTGGCGGCCTAGTTTCCGTTTGTGGCGATAATCAGAGCGTGATGCGCGGAAGAGTTAAAACTAACACCTCAAACGCGACAAATGCCACAATATTCATAACTCGTAGGTCCCGGAAATGGAACAAAACTTGTACGGGATTTATGTATTATCATTGAATAAAAAAATCTAAATCATGATTGAATATTGCAAGAACTGTAATTAAAAAGAGCTTCCTTCTTTCTTCCAACCCACCATTAACCAAACAAACAAAAAAACGATGTTGTGTGGAGGTAATTATTTAAAGTGATACTTTGTATTTTATCTTAGTCTCGTGGGATGAAGTTCAAAAAGATCCATCATAAAGTTAGCGATATGAAATTCAAGAGCGGTCCATCAAAGGGTGGCGAGGCGCGGACGCTATCAACCAAAAGTTAAATTGATAAATTTTTAATAATGTTTGCGACTTTTTCCATTCAAGAGTATCAAGGAGAATAGAAGAGTGGGCCGTTGCTTTCGGTGAATTAAACAATCGCACATATTTAGTTAAAATACTGGTCAAGTAAACTGGCCCGTTTGTCCTGTTTCCATATGTGCTATATAATATATTGTGACAAAAAAACAGCTTATTTTACGCTGTAATTTACGTACATTCTTGATGTAATAACATACTCAACCTCTGAATATTCAAAACGTGAGCCAGCTAGTTGGCTCGTGGGTCACAAATCTACATTCACCTTGTGCACGGTACAAAAGCTAACGATAGAAGTTGGATAATGTGCCTAATAACCAGTGATTACCGTGATTATTGTACCATTTCGGCACGTCTAATAGTGCTGAAGCACACGAAAATCCCATAAACGTAATAACTTCGTAAACAAAGTTGTTAAGGCAAAATAACAAAGTATTAGAGGTGTCATTTATTCCAAACTGTCCTGCAATGAAATTAAAATTTAATAAAGTGGAAAAAAATCTGTAAAATGATATCAATAAATTAATAAACAGTTTCAATCTATATATGTAAGTATATACTTAAAATTATCTAGTTCAATTCGCACCAAGTGGTCAGGGCAACAGAAATAGATTTTTGCACTTTATTACTGATATTAATCGTATATAGGGTGATGTGATCTATCGGTTAAAAATCACTTTACGAGCGCCACCATAATATGAGACGTGAAATTGCAATATAATAATTGTACTTAAAATTTGCATCAAATTGAATCGCTTGCGGTACGAAATGGCAGGCGAGTGAATAGACGTAAGGACGATACGTTGAGTGGTCTCCCCATCCAATTTTAGTTTCGTGAAGTATTGCGATAGGACACCAATATAAAGTTACTCCTCGATTTCACTTACGGGTCGCGGAACTATTAACTGCGACACGATCACAGGGCTGTGAAAAAATAGAGATAGGTACGTGATCACCTATGTGCGGTACAATTAAGAAATTATGAAAGAATAGAAATAAATATTGACACTGGTCATGTGGGCCATGAGTTATATCTGAAAAGTGCTCATGGATTACATGGACCTAACTCTCATTGGATGTCCCCTTAGATAGACTCGAATGTAAATTATTTAGCTCAAAGTTTAATAATTAAATGTAACAAATTTTACCTAATTTTACTTTTTATTGGCATTTAGTATTACGATCAGCAACATCAACAAAACGCGTATTGTTACATACATATTTAATGTTCCCCTTATGGTTCCAATAAAGGCATCGTGATTGGACCATTATCCATCGCACGCGATACTAATCTTTATTCTCTATGCGATAAAGATGATTCCATTTTTATAGCAGCCTGATCAGGCGCTGAGTGGATGACAGTTTTATAGAGTTTTAAATGTTTCATTCGTGACTTGGGAGACACCTACGAATAATTGATAGGGACTTAATATAATTCAGACTCTTGGAAAATAACGATTGCTACGCTCTGGTCAATTGTTATTGGATGTACCTTATATCATAAGTAATATATATATATATATATTACGGAGTGATTAGTAGAAGCGATTAAGGAATGACAATGATAACCGACATTACTATTTACAAGATAAGTTTGAAGATAAATAGTCGCTAATTCATAGATCTGGAACACGGTTTTTAACTAATTTGATGTTATTCATTTCGAAGATCGGTGGCATAACGACAGATGACAGTACAGCCATTACCAATAATACTATGGAGTCACTATTACTATTGACTATTAAATAGTAGTTAATTTGTAGATCTATTAATATTGGCAAATCGAATAAACCACGTATTAACGGTCATAAACTGATTAGACTCTGACATTGCAAATTTATGAGCTCTGTGACATATAATGACAATGGCAGCTGACAGTAATGCTCCGACATATATATTATATATATAGTATTATAAAGAAGACATGTTCCGATTAATATGGAATAAAATATCCGGCAAATGACCTCCACGGCTCCGATGATAGGCCATTACACTCTTCATGAAATTTTCCATATTTTAAAATGTTTGTATTATATATCATGCACAAAACCCCAAAAAAAAAAGATCGCCCGGCGTTAAATTGCACGATCTTGTGGCCAGTTGACATCAGGATTTCGTGATATTGTGCTGTTCAATCGGACAAAATACCTTTTCGAAATGGATCCTTCTGCTCACCATGGCATTGCAGTCTGCTGGTTTGAGCTTGAATTAAATTTGTACGAATAGTAGTCAAAAGTTCGACTCATAAGGATTCTTATTATCATATAATACTTTTTTTGCCCTTTAAATATAACATTGGTGCCTTTCTCGGCTGAATTGTAATTTGGGAGCGTTTTCAGTTATTTAAGTTCACTTAAAGAGGTGTTCTTTCGAGCGTCATTTTAATACAAAAAAGTGGTGACACCTGTCAATTTCATTCCACTTCAGGAAACCAAAACACTCCAAAAAAAAACCCACAAAAAAAAAAAAAACCCCACCCAAATTTTTTTTTTTTTTTTTGCCATACCCCCCCCAATACCCCCTTGCACAGGTTTCTGTGGTGGGAAAAGGGGAATAAAGAAAGTTTCGGTGAAATTTTTACATAAACCTTTTTCCTTTTATATTATAAGAAAAAATTTCCTTCATTCACAAAAGACGTACGAAATTGTCAAATATCGAAACAACATTACAAGAGCGTTTATGCTAGCGTTAAATCGAAACCAATGCGGAAAAAAGTGAATCGGCCGTTTAAAAAATTATGCATGGGTAATGCAACAAGATTTAAAAAAAAAGTATAGACTATTACGCATAACTAATAAATATGAATATAAGTTTGAATGTATAATACATTAGCTTAATAAATAATGAACGTATTTCTTACAAAAAGTAATAAAAGTGCAACGGGTCTGGATAATTAAATTAGTAATTAATACCACATGTTTAGTTAATTTTGAAATAGAGCTTAGATGATGCATCTTATACACACATTGTCTATTACAAACAAGATCTTTCAAGAATTAATACTTACACAGGCGTTAATGTAAATATAATGTAAGTAAAGTCGCGGGTTGAGCCTAGTTGCCATAAACAGTATTCCAAGTTAATGACCTCGAAAATCTGCAGCCCGCGAACGCTTATCTTGGGGCTATCAACGGATTTACGAAACAATTTTCGTTTTTCGCGTTAAAAATGTAACGTCATCACCGAAAATGTTTTTCTTATTTTATTTGAACTGCCGGTGGTGTATAGCTCGTACACATTGAACGCAGATAGAATTTTCCCCTACGAATGCTATTAAACTTCGTCACAGGGCTTATAAATTGCAAGTTCTATAATAAAGTCTATAGAATCTCTATTACGTAAATATATTTTGTAGTAACAATTTTGTGTGCTTTAAGTTATTCTAGAAAGTGATTGAAAGTGAGTTAAGTGTGTGTAAAGAAAAATACACAGTAAGTGCAAATATTTGGGTGATAATTTGTGCAATCGAAATACGCAAAAGAAATCTCTTGTCGATCCTACTTCTTATTGAGTACCTACTCTCCAGGTTCATAGGTTGGTAGTCAGTCGTAGTAATTCACGAGAATTAAAGGTGAATAAAAAAGATAAAATAATTATTTAAAATGTTTATTAATAATACTCCTGTCCTTATTACGATATTTACAAAATACAAAAGAAAATTAATATTCCAATGAGTAACATTCTCTTAAAAACGTACATACGTTCAAATGAGCCCGTATATAACTGCTACTAAGGAACATAGCTAGTTACGACCATCTACAGCTATATTAGTTATTTTACTTTACAAGATTTTATGGAAAGAGGAGTTTAGAGACGTTTAAAATTACGCTTCGCTCAGTTTGCGTCAAAATCTAAGTGCTTTTAATTTGCGTATTTTACTGGAAATACACGAATAAATATTAAAACTAGTTAAGTATTTATTCCATTGGAGAGAGAGAAAGATTTTTAGAATTGTATAATGTTACCTTCAGTTAAAAGTCATTTCATGTTACTGTCTATTGCCATTTTAAAATTGCCATGATTGAAGCGTAATTTAAAACTACATTATGTTAACAAAATGGTTAAAAGATTAATTTATTAAAACAGTCGATAGAATTTTCATAACCATTTAATTTATTTGTCTTTATTTTCTAATTATATTACGGAGATCTCTTCCTAGAAATTTAAAGTTAAGCTAACAGCAATTTTGTTAAATTGTGAGTTCCCGATAGGTAACCTTTTTTATAGGAAAAGTAGCCACCCCTCGAGGAGTAGTTTTTCTTTAAAAAAGCCTCTAATAATAGCCGCACCTGTACCTCAGTATTAATGAGAAATCTTTGCAAATCTGGCACATTGTTGATCTTTTGTCTCTTGTCTTTATTTACGAGAAACAATGGCCGACGTCACGGTGCAAGTGCAGTTTGACTCGCGGAACTTTTTTCTTTCTTTCGTACTTTGTGTTTTTAACTTCCGAATATGAGAACGAACTTATCCAGTTTTTATTTACTGTATTTATTAAGCTGTCATGATTGTAGTTGATAAATTACCTGAAATTTACCTCGAAAGTAGTCGAGAAGAGATCTCCCTCACATTCACCTAGTAAATTATGTTCTAAGAACAACGTAAACATCTCAACTGCAACTACTAACTGATAATAATTTTATTTACAACAATAATTATTTACAACGCATTAGTCTAATTTACGTATTTATTTTATTTACATTCTGGCCATTTACAAATTCGTAATGGAATGTAAATTGTGGAAAGAAGAAGCCATCTTTACGAAATATCATTTTTACACTGAAACCGTTAAATGGCGTTTTTTACAATTAGGTACATAACATCAAACGATAATACTATTAGTATTATATTAGTCTAATTTTAATATATTTCGTAAAGATTTGACCTAAGTCGTGCAGTTTGCCCTCATTTATGGTTAGACTTCACTGTTTCCTTTTAGTAGGTACGTTATAACGTCTTACATAATCTGCAAACATTGGTTTCGATAATATCGTAAAATAATATCACATATTTTCAGTACTTAGAGTAATTAATAAATTAGGACTTTATAAGCATTCGTAATGTGTTGATTTATCGGTTTAGCTTATAATATAGCTATATTGATAACGTGATTTCAAAAATCTTTCTAAATAAAAAACAATTTAAATGTTAAAGAATTAATGAAAAAAATCGAAATTCTTTGTAATCACGTGTGAAACACTAAGCTATTTATATAACAATTTCATCTTCTCATAATTAGCCAAAAATTCATTCAAATTGAAAAGTTCAAACAAACAAACGATATAATAATTGTGCCTGCAATGCCTGGCTTAAGAGTAATTTCGTTGTTTATTAAACAATATACAGACTTTATGAGAAGATCAATGCTATACATATTTTGAAGTAGTTCTTAGAATTATTATTCTAACGTATTTCAATTAATTTATCTAATTAAATCACGTTAAGTTGTTTGAGACGAAATTTTTGTTTGTTTCAAAAGATCACACGACTCAATGAACAGAAAACAAATTATTCAAAGATAAATTAGATTATATTTGCGGTAATAATAGAAGCCAATCAAATGATTAACGTATTATTGTTATCTATTTTAGGATATTTAAATATTTCAACAGTTTTGACAGGTTGCATTTCTAACGAAATTATCAGTTCTCTCAATGACAATTGGAAATTTCAGCTGATAAGTTCAGTCGAAGCAAAAGCGTACTTTATTCTAGTTCATTTGTCTGCTACGTCATTTTACGCGTCTCTTTGTATACTAGATGAATTTTCCTGATGATTTATTAATTAAAAAAATGCATTTTCATTGCATGCAAATTATTTTAACAGCGAACAATGTATAAAGAATTTCACACTTTAAAAGTATTCTTAACCCGAGTTAAGTTCAAATAACAAAATTTCCATCTCAAATCATGCGTGGGAAGGGTGATCATCTGCCGGCCATCGAGGAGAGCAGGTAGGTGATGAGAGCACAGCTCAGCTGAGATGTTAGGTACGTCGCTCTGTTACTCGTCTGCATTGCGGCCGGATGCTCGCCTGTTAAAGATATTCACGTTTATTCACACATTATAAGCATTATTTTAGAATAAACCAAAGTATTATTTCTGCAAAAAGTAAGTGAATTTCACATACAGTTGTACAATTTAATGTAAATAAGGAAACAATATTTTAATTTATAATCTTAACCAATTATATCAGGTTAATTATCCAGAAATAATGACAGTAATTAAACTAATAAGCTTTATTGCTTTAGCGCATACAAATGTAATATAACAATTTTAATAATACCGAAACAAATATGGACGTGTTAATGGAAAACAGATACAATACAATTTCGCATGATAATATGGGCTTAACGTATCGAACTGAATTATTACTATTTTCGTTATGATAGATTGTTTAATTACGTGGGTGATTTGTTTTTAGGTTAAGTACAACTCATTAACATTGATTGATTGAAGATTCCTAATCTACCAAACATTTAATTATTCACTATGATGGAACTGTATTTTAATGTATATAAGAATTTTACTGTTCCGTCCTTGGTGTGTAAGTTTGTTCTTTTAACTTTCATATAAAAGTGTGTAGTTTGCGATCACCTATTTCCTCGCTCTTGAGACTAGTTGTGTTTGTATATTTTGTTGAATACGTATCAGGTTACTTAAAGAATTGGAAGAGCTGTTCGCTCTCAAGCGGATTCTTCCAGGCAACTAAAATTAGGAGACATGATAAAATATAGACTATGGATAATCATGGATGATTGAGGATGCTCAACTATTTTTGACACATACCGTTGAGTACATGAACGGACACAGAAGCCGGGTGCGCATTGTTGGGAACACATGTATAGTTTCCAGAATCTGTCAGCGCAGCCTTAGTGACTAGCAGCTTGCTAGTAGTACCGCCTTCCGTCTTTTCTGTCTCCAAGCTAATTCCTCCTCGAGGTGAATCGAAGTCCACCACAGCATTGCCGTGGTACCTACAAATTTACCAAAAATATGTATGAATATAAACAGTTATTCTCTGTAACAGTAGTTTTATTTTAACGTGTACTACTCGCGTAAACTAAAGACATTGTCCAAAGTGAGTCTGCCGTGTAAAATATTTAAAATAATTCAGTTTTTAAACTGTAACAGTGAGTAGATATTCGGTCCAGTCCCTTGAGCCAAGCCCTCTGAAATGAGCTTTACAACGTCTTTGAAAAATCGTCTGCCCCCTTTCAGATGTTATCAGAAAATTCATAAATATTTTAACAGAACTTCACCGGGTTATTATCCTGTCGTGAAGGTTTTCAGAGAGCTTTATAAATACAAATTGGCTTAGATAAATTATCTTTGCAATCCTCAGGGAGTGGCTTATCGAATTTAATCAGAAGTAGGAAAGCTTTTCTTATTCTGAATTAACCTTATTTTATCATAGCAAAATGTCAGACAATAATTATGAATAACGGTGATTAATGGCTCTTTTGTTCGTTAAATTTAATATCTTGGTTAAAATGTATTTAGAAATATTTGGAATTTATAGTAAGGTTGCCGATGCGAGAGTATACCTACCACAGCACTGAAGCGCTGGAGGGAGGCGAGGAGTGAACATTGACGGAGCAGGTCAGCGATATCGTGCTGCCTTTCTTTACGTACACGTCTTGCGACCCCCATATAGTGGCTGCAGCAGCTGATGATTGAGACACTCAAATTAAAACATTGATAAGTGAGTAAAAGTTGTAATGATTTATCTAAACATTACAACTATGTGTTATAAATTCTATTTAGCTGTTAAGAGACTCTTAATTTAGAAAATATAAAGAAAAAGATTCGATCAATACATTTATTTTGATATTGATTTCAAAGGCAACGAATCTATAAACGTGTTCTTTCAAATCAAATATCAAAAGACTCATCATCTTTTCAAAGATAGCTGTTCCGCAATTGTAATACTATTATTAAAAATGTCTTTACGTACGTTCTTTGACTTTGTTTAGCCATTTTGTATTACGTATTTTACAGAATAACTGAATTAAATTCAAACACATATCGAAACATGTATGTCACAATATGATAGAATATTAATTTTATCTCATAAAACAAACAATGGATTTAAAATACAAGAGAGTCATGCATCGAACTGATTAACAACATCGAAATAGCAACGAAGCGAAACCCAAACAGTGTTGTAAGAGATACATTAAATTGCTGTTACTTCGATTAATTCTATTCTTACTTCACTGACTAACTCTGTAGTTAAATTTAACAAGAATCTATATTATTTTTTAAATTAATTGTTTTCACAATCATTGGACATTATGGATAAATCGTTTACAAAGTTTTGAGTAACACTTTCTCTATATGTATATAAGTTAATAAGTCGATTTGGGATTCACTTCTGTATTGTAAATAGGAATGAGGAGTACCTGAGGATCGGGGCGGAGGCTGGGGCGCGGGGGTGAAGGACTCATCTGCAATGCACAATATAACAGCTTAAGGCAGGGAAAGAAGCGGTGCAATAATAGTTAAAAAGCATGTGGTAAAACTTATATTTTTAAATGTGTTCTGTGTTTACTTGTAACATTATATATTTTTTCTATATCAAAAGCAATTTCGGAAATATTATAATTGTTGTTACCAAGGATGACTTATTATAGGACTATATCGTTACATTAAATATACGTTAATGAAGTAATGTAAAAGCGGCGTATTTGATGATACGTGATAAAGAGCAGAATAATGGCATGTAATGTAACTCATAACTTTTATATCGTATGAAATATATTATGCACATTTAGGCGAGGTCGGTTATTTTTCAGCGTAACAAGCGCTGTAATTGGCCGGGAACAGAATTTGAGAAGCGCTTGATGTATTATGTTGAGCGCTGGCGTGCGGCTCGGTTTACAAATTGCGGTTGTGTAACAAATGACGAATATAAAAACTATGTTATTTCCTCGACGTTTCAGTGAAATTATTTTGAAACAAAACTCTTTTAGCGTATCATCAATCGCCCGATGCGGGGGAAAAGGATCGCTTTTCAACTTTCTAATGCCATTAGTGAACCTGTGGGTCTGTGATAGAGTTACGCGTACAGCGACGCATGTTATGCTCCACTTTATACACTACTACGTACTGCATTTGAAAATTAAAAAAGTTTATGTTAATATATCTAATAAATATAATTTCTAATCTGACACTTGCCGCTTTGTATTTGATATAAAACGATGAAATAAACCCTTTAGGTTAGTCACTTTAAAGACCAATTAATTTTTACTCTCAACTTCGAAGCGACCGTTTAATTATTCAAGCACAATCTCAGGCTTCGCGCCGACTCTCTTTAATTTTAAACTGCTGTGATCTTTGATCATTATTATTTGCGACTTCAAATGCTTTTATCCAAAATTCAAATATTACACCTCAGTGATTGGGAAAAGAGAATCAATATTCTTAGAGAAAACACGTTATCAATACAGTAGTATAAGGTTTTGGTGAAATGTAAAATATTAGGTTTCAATGTTGGAATGAACCACAAATCTAGGACGATGCCTAGTATTTACACTGGTAATGACGTAACGTAAGCTGGACATCGAAATCTGGACTTGACTGTTGCATTCTTAATAAGCCTGTTCGGTCGGTGTTTATATTCTGACAACGAGCAAAAGATTTCCGATATTTTAGTTAAGAAATCTCTCTCTTCTGTAATGAATTTTAAGATATGATTTAGCCAATTGTGGTCATTGCTTTTCATCAGTACTTGATAGTTCAGTTTGTTTATCGATTGAGTTACCGTTGAGAGTTATACTTTTTTCAGTGATAGTCTAGATCCGTCCATTTCCTATTCATTCCGGTTCAATTCTCTATGCCATTTCCCTATCTGCGCTCTAGAAATTGCTTTGCGGAAGCTTTTAGCCGTTTCCAGCGGTCATTTATTGTTTCAATAATAAATGTACGTTTCGTTAGAACATCAAGATACAAAGGATTTAAGAATGAGCAACATATTTGGTCATACATCACGAGTACGCGCGTTGGCGTGGGCCCAGCATGATACAGGACTTAGAGTAATGGCTCGTAGTTTGTATCATGGCATTAGCCTTCCCCCTAATATGACGAGAGATGAATGCCAGATTACATCTAACCCACTTTTCATATTATTCACTTGCAGGCCGCTCGCATTCGGGATTTGGATCGGTGGAGCCGCTTTGATTAGTTTCCTCTCAGCCGAACTTTCTCTTAGTATATTTCTCACTGCGATAGTTTGCATGAAATGTTAAGGAAACAACCACATTTATTTTAATGGCAAATTTGTATTATGTTAATGACGAAAGGTACGGTACTTCTATAATGTGAGGAAGTTCTTAGATTATAAGTTTTGACATACTAACATAGAATATTACACATGAAATAATTACTTTTAATTATATTTTGATACTTGCATGCTAGTTTGATATGACTGAAGCGGTTTTTTATAATTCATCGTAATCATAATATAGCATTTTCTAGGAAAATAAAGCATTTATGGAATTAGTCGCACTCTTACGAAAATATTTTTTTATAGTTCATGTAAATAACGACGACAAAAGCAGTTATAATTAAATATAAGTTTCTATTTATATGATAAACGTGTGAATATAATAGAGAGGGCATGGATATAGCCGTTACCGGTGGCCATTAACTCGAAGCGATATCACGTACGGTACGTGCCCAATACGCTCATCCCAACTTCTGCTATCTTTGACTTTCATATATTACCTCGACTATACAGATATCATCATTTACTCCAGATTTTATTACGAAATTATATTATATATGCGGATATATATAATATTGTAGTGGTTGCCTGGAAGAGATCGCTCGAAAGCGATAAGGCCGCCAGTTGCCCTTCTTTTCATTTAATTATCACAATTGTATTATATTCTGTATGCAACGAAGTGTTAATTGTACTAATCTAAAACTTACCTATAATTAGTATTGTCTTGAAATTTCTTATTCATTTAATAAAACATTTGACCGGAGTTGAAGTTGATGTATTATTATAAATTTACAACTATTTAAAATTATGTTAAATAGTTGTAAATTATAATAAAAAACAATAAAAACATAATTGCTATTCTAAAAAAATATTAATAATGTATTTGAAGTATGCCATGGAAATGAATTGTTTTATTTAGAAGTATAAAATCTAAATAAATAGTACCTTCAACGCTAAGCATAACGGCCATATTAATTTTAGGCTCAGTGTTGATTTGACACTCGTAGACGCCCGCATCTCGGGGCTGGACGTAGTCAATCTTCAGGTCCCAGTCGTCCGAGGGCTCTGGATGTAGGACACTGAACCTTGCATCTCCAGTGTAGGTGAAGATGTGAGAGGTCAGAATATGCAGGTCTCGCTTCCTCATCCATGAGACCTAAGAAAAATTATTTCGTTGTTAGCGATCGTTATACGAATAAGATAAGTATAATAGAAGTAAGTATAATAGGATAAGACGTTTCTATCGTAAGGGCACATCTCGGAATTGTTTATGAAACCAATACGAAAAATATTACATGTTTTAATGAATAGAAAACATGACATTAGAAATTTGATTCGATGCTTTTTAAGTATTTCTTTGAGAGAATAGTATCAAAACGTTTTATTTTCCTATCGACACAAATATAATAATTTTATGAAATTCAGCTTTATGAATTATATATAAGAATATAAAAAAATAAAAAATACTTCACTCTAAATGTAATATGTCTAAAACTTGCGTAATTTCACATAAAGTGTGGATAATTAAAAAAACTTTAATTAACGCGACATGAAAAGCTGAAGAGATATTTTTAATTAGAGCATAAGGAATTATATCAAACATTTCTCATAAATCCACTTAAAAGATTTAAGACGCGCCCTTTGATAAAATTACAACAATAAACGCCAAATTATATTTTTAATCCGAAGCCTTGGAGAAATTACGAAAATAAATTTATTCCTTTGTTAGGATTTTTGTTTTGTATGTAATTAGGGGGGCTGAGCCGTAATTAAGCAAAAGGACGGAAACTTTACAGCTTTTAAAATAATAAAAGTGAGGGCGAAGCTAGTTTTGAGGTTGCATTTGAAGAATGCTTAGATCTGTTTCAAAGATTAAACAGTAAAGTAGATTAAACAGTGAGCATTTCATAAAATAAAAAGTATATTCATTTTATACTTAGTGAACATGAAAGAAAAAAGAAAGACATAATGAGAGAGCAATGTCGTGCTTTATTTAGAAAAATGATCCAATCTTTAGAGGCTGGTGAAACTTAATCTACTATAGTTGTCCTTTCCTAGCCATTTCGTGTAACTGGCTATTTTCCTTTTGCGTCACGGTTCAATCTATAACACTGTATAGTAATATTCGAGCCGTCAGGGTGATATTATAGGGGTGTTGATCCCTTCGCCATTAATATGGCGGTCAGCGGAGCGGGGAAGGATCGACAGTGAAAAATGATATTGTAGTCTGCAGGTGGAGATAAGAAAAGGGCTTGACGAGTTCTTGAAAGGGATTCTGACGCGATGCTGGTGACTGACGGGGTTTCTTGTGACATTTTTTGAGGAAACCGTCGGAGATGAAAGAACTGTCTGTGATATTACTGAAATATTCTGATTATTAATCATCAAAGAGTCTCACCCTGGAAACAGTTTTTAATTAGAAATTTAGGTAAAAAGTAATCAAACTTTGTTATATATCCTCAGAAGCATATTTTTTACAAATAAGTAAGTCATTAAAATTATTATTTAGCAAGATTTTCTTGTTACAATAATAATTTAACTTTTCACGCGATGCACAAAGTAAATAAAATAGGGATTTTAAATAAATTACATTAAGATTAATTTCACTTTATGAGGATTTGAATTCTATATTTCAATTTAAGTTCGTAGCAAAAAGTTTTCGTGGCCAAGAAAATATTATCTTAAGGTGTCAAGGTTTTGGAGTTTTGTTTTTTTCATTGTAACTTTGTGAAGTTGTTATTTAGAAGTTTGGATACGTCTTTCAAATTTTTATATATTTCTATAAAAAATATATTTGCAAAATTCCCTTCTACATAAATCCGCCTTAAGCCTCAAATTTATGTTTCATGATTTGTTCTTATTAATCTTGTGGTGTTTTTATAATAATTAAACGATAGAATATTTTAAGGTAGTAACGAATTTATAAATAAGAGCAAAACTTTCTAAAGTAATTTGGACAAAGAGAATGTATTTCATATAATAAAATTTGCGTTAATGTCGTTATACTAAAATTAAATAAAGACGAAATCTCATCTTTTATCGTATACCAAATTTATGGTTGGTCTTAAATTGATTACAGGCTACATAAAATCGGCAAGACGACCACAGCAGTGGCCACTTGATTAACTGGCGCTATACATCACCGCCTCCGTCTGACAATTGCATTTACAGACGAAACGGCCTTAGGTGATGTAACATTGGTCAAACTTACCCCGAGACGATCATTAAGGTATCAAATATTTATTTACTTCATACAGACACTTCTTTCATAAGACGAGAGATTATTTCACTATTGGTGTATATTTGTAATTTTTTTCTCGCATCTCGATCTATCTAGGCCCTATTTCCCTTCCACCATAAAACATTTTGCATCATATATCTGTATGTATATGTGTCGATATATTCTATTATTTATATTACATTTTAGCTGGTTTGGAAATACAAGGGGTTTCTGAGAATTGTTGGACTGTATCAGATTTAATGTAAACTTGAAGTACGAGTACATTGTTAAGTAAGTAGTTTCGGATGCAAAGTCGGTAACAGAGCTTTCTATTTAGAATTACTCTGAAGGTGACTTGAGAACATTGAACATTTGAATTCGCAACATTATCATTATCTGACAGAAGTTTCGAAGACACGTTTTACAAGTTCCAATATTTGTAACGTGAATATTATCCTAATCGATAAGCGAGATGAACGAGCGATCTTAAAACGTTACGAACTTATCTAGATTCGAGTGGTTGAAGTCAAAATGAGATGTTCGCTTAAAGTTAGCTAAATAGATATATGTAATATTGTTGTTAGCTATGACAACCGAGGCATCTCCTCACCTCGCCCCGCACCAACTCACCACATTAAGTAATGTAAATGAAAGAAGATTGCTTTATTGACATTTCTTCCATATAGTATTACTTTTGTTAGACTAACAAAAAAATAGTTTTCTTAATGAGATGTGTCAATACTAAAGCAACATACTTATGGAAATATTTAAAAAAATACATGTATGCAAATAGAAGTACAGGATACTAGTGTGTAGTATTTATAATATCACTTATATTCAGTTGAATTTGAATTAGAATCTATATTGTATTGTATATATGTACTAACAGTTCTATTTCCTATGTGTTTTGCGCGACATCGTAGCACCGCCGATTCGCCAACCACTGCCGATACATTCCTCGGTGACACATCGTCAAAGTAGGGCCTCTCTGTTCTCTCTGCGCTGCTCAATGCTGGCAGGACACCTAGACCTGCAAAAGAACAACAGTTATTATTTATCAGGTTTTTCGTATTGGAACTTCACAAACAATTAATAATATAATCTTTTATTATCAAAGGTTAAGAAGAGACGTGTCTAAGCTACGAACTACGACTCCCTATACACTAGGGGTGTTCAATTAAAGTTATAATGTATGACGGAATTATCTTTTTATTTTTTCTGCGCAAAAAGTCCCTGTAATACCGGCTTCGTGATTAAGGTATTCGATCATTACCACCCCTTGCCTATACCAGAAAAAATTGCGTAATGCTCGGTTCACATTATTCCAGTCCAGTAATCCAGTCCAGTGCTGGACTGGAATGGAACGTCCACATTATTCCAGTCATTCAAAAGCTGTTAGATCGGTAACACAACAGTGACAATGCTTTCAAGAAAGAAGTTTAGAAATTGTTTTAAAACTGTTCAATTATTACTGTTAGAAGAAGTAGTTGATGAAGTGGAAGAAGAACTAAAAAGAAAAAAGCGGATTTGGGTGAGAAATTGGATAAGCGAAAGAAATGAAGGGTGGATTGGCGCATGCCTTTGTGTTTATAAAATTCCGAAGTGATATCCCACAAACACACATGTTCTCTGTACAAAGAAACAAATTGAAGAGTTTGGTTTTCAGTTAACTTCATTGTTCTGAATTACCTATAAAATTCCATAAAATAACAACAATGTGTGTTCATGTTAAAGTGTATTCAAGCATATTGCGTTCACTCTTCATGGCTAGGGTTAGTGGAATGAAAAATAGACCGTCATACCAGTCAATGGACTGGATTGATCCTGGAATGGTACTCCAGTGCGGGTTCATATTCCAGTAGCATTCCAGCACTAGACTGGAATGCTGGACTGGAATGCTACTGGAATAATGTGAACCGGGCATAAGATATACCCGGCGGATGGAATCGGCTTAAATTTCTTCGGAGTTCGACGGTCTCTTCAAAGGTATGGACTGTTATTATAATAAAATAAAATATTAAAAATAACAAAAAAATATTTGTGGTTATAATTTTGAAGCCATGTTTCGTCGACATTTATGAATCGAGCCAATAATGAAGGGTTTTCTTTGTTTCTGCTCGTCAAAAAGATTAATACTTTTTTCATACCCAAATGGTAGTAAAAAAAAATCACGCAGAGATATTTTTATACCGCGCGAACTTCAATTGTATCGATTTTAATGCCAGACGCATTTACCCCTTAGTAACAACAATATATAAAATAAGAGTTATCTTTAATCTTTAGTAATATTTTAATTACTAAGCTATCGCTTAAATTTATAATAACAATGAATATAAATTATAAGCCCTTATTAAAATTAAAAAGCATGTCTTACAAACACGTTCTTGAACTTGTAAAGGGTTTATTGAAGAGGTCAGATAGGGTTGTATACACAATCCAATACATATTAACGAGATCTATGATAAACATTATTAAAATTCGGTTCACTGCGCCAATCTTAATCTGTAAATGAGATTGTGATTTTTTTATTTATCTCCATTACATACTATTATTATAGAGGTATATATTTACTACTTTAATATATAAATTTATTTTATACCAATTAATGGAAATGATAATTTCTTCTCCTCCGTGATGAATTTGGCTTTCAGAAATTTGTTACAATTCCGTTTAACAAAGTTCCAAAGTTACACAAATGAAGTGACTTACAATACGGCATTGTGTAGAAAAAGGTGACATTTTCATACTGCTATCAGTCACCGGAAACATGACGTCGCACCGAACCGGAAAAAGGAAATCCACCCATCTCTGAGACTTGTTAATAATCATACTATTATTGCCAAGCCTATTTCATAATTTTCACATATTTTAACGACACGATCGCAGTAAACCAACAAATTTTTCCAACTGATGGTTGATTGGTTTTATTTAGGGTAAAAAGCAACATTAATTCCTTTTTTGTTCGATTGACAATTATTAAACGTTGCAATTAGCGTTTTAATTAATTATAAGTATATGTCCTGAACATAAAGAGATTCTTTTGAAACCACATACTCTTGTACGTTCATGAATATCACGACAAAGACTTGCTTCCAATATTCGACAGTATATCATGTTTCAAAATTGATTAAAATCTTATATTTGTAGCCATTTCAATTTATAACTTCGTGTTTTACATAATGACACTGTTTTCATCGTGTATTTATTGAAGCATGCTCTGAAGAATTTAGTACAGGTTCCGTTCCACGATCTAAGCCAAAAAACTTCAATTTAAAAACGTTGTAAGCATATTTGTTTAAGGTATTTGTGTGCAAACATTCGTGTCGTGTTCCAGAATGTTACTATACAGTTGTACAGCTGTCCAGAATGTCACCAGTTCCGGCTTCCGAAGCCTCGCGTGTTGCCTCGTTCCAAAAAGTTGTCCGACTTACACGTATGTACTTTGAAATTTCTTGTTTAAAGTCGACGCAGTGGCGTATTTTGAAGATATTCATAAAAACTATGAGCAGTATCAAAGTGTTAAAGAGGTATAAATGAAAATAGATTTCTGTAATATTCTACGAAAACGTTACAAGGCAAAGAAGTATTTTAATTTATCAAATGAAATTCTGTAAGAATAAATAAAAACTTGTGTTCATGTAAAAAAGCTAAAATGCTCAAAGCTTAGTGTTTTGTAACGATTTGCAAATAGCACTTTTTGTAGCATTAATCTGAATTCAGGCCGCGACGCGACACATTGTAGGAGAAATAAATATATAAATAAATATGCGGTGTTGTCCGCGTCGCTACGTGACCCGCATCCTGCGCCCGCACCGCCGAGCGTGAATCGCGTGCCGCGGATTTTTACCATTTTCTTGAACTTTTGTTGTGACAGAATAAGGAAATGAATATTTGGCTCAGATCTTATTTTCATATTATCATTCAAATACATAGGATTTTATGTTGATATATATCATAACTAAAAATAATTCCAAAAAAGTGAATGAACTTTCGAAAATAAACATTATTCCTACACTCCCTTGTACGATAAATCTTAATTAGGAGATATTACTTATCAAAGAGGTCTCAAAGTGAAAAACAAACTCATATTATTTGACGGCAAGAATTCATTCCACCCACCATAATGCACTTGAAGTGAGTGTAGAGGCAATAAAGCTACTTTCACGGGCAATCTTCGGATTATTCTGAGGAAAAAACCAATTTCAGTGGCGATAGTGGAATGTTTACTTTGACACCAAACTTATTGAGCGTCTGGAAGATGGAGGTACGAATCTGCATATAGACGTATTTTACGTGATTTATTATATTAATAAGTTGGCTTTGGAAACTTTAACATAACTGATTTGTAATTGCTATAATAAATAAAATTTGTTCTTAAGAAATAATTTTAATATTACATTTTGAATTAGTTATAAATGAACAATGTGAACATTTGTGATGTCAGCTTACATCAATTTGAAACGTTATTTCGGAGTGCGATGGTATTTGGTTAAAGGGAAATTAAAACGTAATTGCGTCAAAGTGGAATTTAAATGTAGCATAAAAAATCCCACACGAGTCAGGTATCTTTTATGAAATAAAATATGTGGAATTCAATTAGAGTTCGCCTTTTTGGACCCGGATTTACATCACACACGACTTTAACCCTCGCAAATAATATTTAACATTAAAAAGACTCGCAAATACACGTCATATTTATGTTCTAGGAATTCGAATGTCAAAAGCGGAATTTTATGGAAACTTTGTTAGGTTTTATATTATCTTTGAACTCCGTATCAACTAACACGTAATAGAACAGGACCTCGGGCAAACTTATAACATTTCACAGTGATAAACTATTTCCATTTTCATAGCCCGGTAATAGGATTAAGTACGCCTCTAAAACGCGCTCAGATTCATTCGAATCAAGCAACAAATTAATCCATAGAGGTTATGTAATAAAGCCGAGTATGATCCGAGACGAGTCGTAAACTATGTAGTAATAACTTGAGTTACGGCAGTAATACACCACACGGTGGCCTCACTGCGAGAGATGTTCGGTGGCAAAGATTGTTAAGATTGAAACCACTGCAAAACATGTTGTTAACGACATGAGCTCTGATCAGATCACTACATTTAAAGAGAAAATTAGTTTACTTCGTGCATGCTTACCAATAGTTAAAAGTTTGTGTAATTATTCTAGTTTTCGGTCGAAAACATAAAATCAGGCTGGCCGCACGGATTCCGAACCTTTTTCAGGTTAGGGAAAATAATTAGGAGCGTGTAATGAATACAGTTGTGATGTCAATGCGCCACGGAACAGATATATATATAACTATAAATCCTTATTACAAATACTTTTTCAAATACTTTTTACAAACGCTTACTGTAAATAACAAGTAAAACTTGAATTTCCTTAGTTACAACTAACTACTAGAGAATCTAATTTGAATTTTGGGATTGAAAACAGCTAAAGTTTTAAAAATATTTATTAAAAAGCTAAAAAATAGCTCGTCCTTGAAAATAATCATTTCACTAAAGGAACATTTTAGGCACAGCATAGTAGTTGCCAAAGGTGACATTACATTAATTTAAAGTAAATAAAATAATCAAACAAATCGCAACAGAATACAACCATAAAATTAAAAAAGTAACATTATAATAATATTTTTAAGGGATATTGGTAAACATACAAAAAAAATAATAAACAACTTAAAATTAAAAAAAAGTGACGATCTACTTGTTATTGCAGACAAACTATCGTGGACTTTAATGGTACCTTTTCTTAGAGACCCTTTTGCTCTCAACTACTATAAATCTTGCCTAATGGCTCTTCGGTAGCTATTGAGGATCGAGTGATTTCATATCTGTTAATCTGTTTGAGTGCAACCCCTGTTTGAGTGCAACCCCAGATATTTATGCTTCGGTAATTTATTGTAAAGCCTTTGAAATTTAATTTCAAGTTGCACTTGACAGCCTAAACGTCTTCTGTCACTGGTGTAAAAGCAAGTGGTGTAAAAACTGGTTAAACGGCGCAGACTCTTCTCCTATGGCTGTTGGAAAAAACTACAAGTATATCGACCGGGTTTTTATTTAATATAAATAAATATACAGCATGGATTGGCACCATAAGGTTCTAAGCGACAAATGAGGGAGGAGAAAATTAAAAGTTCAGGTTCAGAAGGTTTCAATTCTTTCAATTAGTGTTAGGATTTGCGAACAAAAGAAATGATGTCGTCTTCGCGAATTTTTATTTATTCTGTTACTGCATTTAAAACAATATATAATAAACATTGTATAATTACGTAAATAATGTCATCCGGTTGTCTCTCTATCTCCAAGAATTCATTTCAAAGGAAGTAATTTTAACATATAATATCCATACCTCTAATCTCTAACAAGCCGTATCGTCATTTATCCGACGATCCGAGTGACAAACGGCACAAAACAAACAAAATAACTAGATAAAAAACCATTTAGGGCCTTTATTGGCCATAAAGATGCCCCTTGTTTATAGTTCGGACAGGGGCCGAGGTGTGATTAACTTCGCGACAAGTTCATTTAAACTCGACTCTGAAGTTTCCGGTGCGGTCGGGACCAAACATAGTCTAAGTTTCGCCAACTATTATTATTACGGTGTAGTTTTAGGTGAGCGATAGTCTAACTTAGTCTAAATAGAGATTTCATATTAGCGGACAAATAGCGGTTATAGAAGGCCTAACATATACATCACATATTTGCAATAACCTTAAAATACATTACTATCTGCGTCGCTGTCTACGATAAAGCATTTCTCTAATTATTCGGTCCTGTCGAGGAATTTCCGACTAATACTTTCGGATCCTCGAACGACAATCGAATCAAATCTCGAGCAATGCAATGCGATGTGTCCATGAATGAAGAATTCACTTAACATCCGATTAACAAACAATATATTCGATTGTATTAAAATAAAAAACAGGCAATTAGAGGCAACACACTTCTCAAATAAGTTGAAAGTGAAACACCCCTCTGAAGTTGTGTAACTTAATTTGAGCACCATTAACAACTAATGGGCCGCCACTTATCGCTTCTGACGCGATTACCTCGTAATTTTACGAAATAGCTAGTGAGTGTGGTGACTAACACAAAAATTCTCAAATATGGCTTATTTTAATGGGACTAATTACTCGTTAAAAGTATTTTTGTTAAGGTATCGTACACTTTTTTGTAAGGTTTAGGTTGTAAGGATACATAATTACGATTGATTTCAAAATTAAGAGTGTAACGAATAAATATCGTATGCAACAAAATCTTTACTATTTTTCTCGTTTATTTTTGGTATTTTAATTTTGAAAGCTATTGTAAGTATAATTCAAAGCACGCGAGATCACAAAGCAAATTATATGACATTAAAACAACGAAAAGCCGTACATGCGTCATGAGGTTTAGCATAATAGACTTAATTAATAACGGCTAGGCTTAGCGCAAACATAATGCCGATCTCATGAGCCGAAATTAAGCCAGATAAACTTGTCGTAATCGATTAAGCCTGGCTTTGCTCTCAATCTATTACTTGTTACTTAATTTATATTATTCCTTAGAAATTACTCGGCTATTCCAAACTCCATATTCGTTAAAAAAATTACACAAAATAATATAATTTTTGCTTAACTGAAATGCTTAGAGATTAAGAGCTTAATTTGAAATGTACAACCATTCAACATACTAAATCTGAATCATAATTCCATATTGTTTTAATCTGTAGTATTGTACAATGTTTTTTTGTAGGTTTCCCCTCAGGAACGCACACTACGGAACTAAAACGGAAATTTAATCTTTTTAACA